TACCAATGCCAGTTAGTCGGAGCCGATCCCACCCCACCTCATCACACAGCTCTCCGTGTCTTCAACCACTTCCCTACCCACGAGCTTCAAACACATTCGTCTCCTCTGCATCCCTCCCCCCAAAATAAAAATAAAAATATATTTTTAAGAGAGAAAAACAAAACAAAATAGAAACTCCAGAGCACTGCTTGGACATGAATTCCTCCCCAGGAGAGTGAGGGAAGTTATATTAGCCACGTATGCCAGCTGCCTGGTTCACCCCAATCCCGTGAGCTCAGGAGTGGTATCCTCCTTTTCTGGAAAAGGAAGCCGAGGATCTGAGGGGCAGGGAGGTTAGGACCAGGCCCACCCCTAACATCTGCTGGGCCCAGGGCAAGAGAAGAAGTGGAAATAGACATACTGTGTGTCTAAATATTTTAAAGATATAAATCAGGTTAAGGTTTGTAAAGTAAAATATGTTCACTTTATTTTCACAAATACATCTTCATAGTAAAGATGAAAAATATGTGTAAAGCTATTTTTATATGACTGAAAGTTGGCAAAATCTCAGAGCTGGTGGAATTTTATTACTCCTGCTCATGTCTGAGTACTCTCCTGACAGGCCAGTGATATTTGGACAGAGAAGTAATACAATAAAGATAAATAATTCATAAATTAGATGTTTATTTCATAAAATTTTTCTTGCCTTCTTTCAGAAAAATTGCTAACCTATCTCCATTGACTGTTCCAAGAAATTGCTCAAGAGCAGCAGTAGCAATTGGAATTAACAAAATGTTCTTACAGCAATAGTCAAGTTCAGAAATAAACAGTGATTTTTAAAAATTATTTTTTGACTTTTAATAGAAGTTACCCCTTATAACTACCTGATTATAGAATGGGTTATCAGAAAAACTTAGTTTCACTCAGTTTGATGTATTTTTAAAATTTCCTTGAAAGTTCCTCTTTGAGCCACAGATTATTTATGAATGTATTGTTTGGTTTCCAAGTTTTGGAGGTTTCCCTGTTATCTTTCTATTACTGATTCCTAGTTTGAGTCCATTGTGCTCATATATAGGTATGATTTCAATTCTTTTGCATTTGTTGACATTTTGTGATCTTCAGAATGTTATCTATCTTGGTAACTGTTTCACTGGTGCTCGAAAACAGTGTATATTCTGCTGTTGCTGGGTGGCATATTTTATAAATGCTGACTAGATCTTATTGGTTGATGGTGTTGAGTTCTGCTGACTCAGCAAAATATCTTTGCTGACTTTAATGGCTACTTGTTTGATCAACTGTTGAGAGGGGGTTGCTGAAGTCTATAACTGTGATTGTGAATTTATCTATTTCTTCTTCCAGTACTATCAGCTTTTGCTTCACATATTTTGCAACTTGGTTGGTGCATACACGTTCCGGATTGCTATGTCTTTTTGGTGGCTTGACTCCTTTATCATTATTCTCTGTTCTTGAGAAATTTCTTGCTCTGAGATCTACTTTACCTGATATTAATGTAGCCACTCTTGATTTCTTTTGATTAATGTTTGCATAGTGTATCTTTTTCCATCATTTTATTGGCAACCTATGTAGCTGCTATATTTGAAGTGAGTTTCTTTTTTTTAACTTTTTTTTATTGAGTTATAGTCATTTTACAATGTTGTGCCAAATCCTGAAGTGAGTTTCCTGTAGGCAGCATACAGTTGGGTCATTTAAAAAATTCAGGCCATCTATCTTTGTAATTGTTGTATTTGTATAATTTACATTTAATGTAATTATCTCTATGTTAGAGCTTAAGTCTGCCACTTAATATTTTGTCTTCTTTTTGTTCCCTCTGTTGTTGATTTCTCTATTTTCTTTTTTCTGTCTTCCTAAGGGTTACTTCCTCCTTATTCTAGGTACATTATAGATATATATCAAAGTTTACTGGTGTTGACATTTTACCAGTTCGAGTGTAGTATAGAAAATGTGCCTACTTTTAAGTCCCTTTATCTTTCCTCATTTATAATATAATTGTCTTAACTACATCCTGTACATACTTTGAGAACCATATCAGACAATGTTATTCAAAAACAATTTTGAAAACTCAACAGGAGCAGTAAAGCCTATTATATTTACCCATATTTTCATCTTTCCATTGTTTTTTCCTTCTTCCAGATAGTCAAAAAGCTTTTATTTTATCATTTCCTTAGCACTTTAGTAACTTCTTTAGCCATTCCTTTAAGGTAGTTATTCTGGTGACAAATTCCCTAAGTTTTTCCTCATCTGAAAATATCTTGATCTCCCCTTCATTCCTGAAGGATATTTTTGCTGGACATAGAATTCTCGCTTGACAGTTATTTTCTTTCAGCACTTAAAAATGTGCTCCTTCTTTCTGGCCTTCATAGTTTGTGATGAGAAATCTGTTGTTATTTGAATTATTTTCCCCTAATTGGTAAGATATCATTTCTTTCTTGTTGCTTTTGTGGTTGTCTTTAGCTTTCAGACATTTGATTATGAGGTGGCTGGAAGCGGATTTCTTTGGCTTTATCCTGTTTGGGGTTTGCTAAATTTGGATAGTTCTCAGCCATTATTTCTATAATCACTTTTTCAGCCCCTTCCTTTTTCTCCTTGTTTCACGAGTATAATGACTAGGATGATAGATGTTTTGTTATAATCCCGTAGGTTCCTGAGGCACTGTTAAATTTTTTTTTGTCAAATTCTCTCTGTTGTTTAGATTAAGTTCTGTTCCCTCTTCAAGTTCACTGATTTTTCCTCTGTCATCTACATTCCAATGTCAAGCCCATCCAGTGTGTTTTTCACTTTGGTTGTTTTATTTTTCGGTTCTAAAATTTCTATTTGGTTCTTATTTACATCTTCTGTTTCTTTGCTGAGACTTACTATTTTTTTCATTTGTTTCAAGTGTGTTTGTAATTATTTGTTAAAGCATTTTATGATGGTTGCTTTAAAATCTTTGACAGATAATTCAGACATCTCTGTCGTCTGTGTTGGTGGCTATTAGTACACTCTGGATATGTTATTATGAAATGCTGAATGTTTAAATTTTCTATTTCAGCAGGTCTCCTTTGACCCTACACTAGTTAAGAGACAGAGACTCTGCCTTGCTATTGACAGATAGGGGCTGAAGTTCAAGTTTCCTACTAAACCTCTCATGAAATCACCCTGAAAGGGAAGGACGAGTTCTTATTACTACTGGATACGGAGGTGGAAACTACCAGTTGGACCCCTTTAATACCATTCCAGCAAGGAGGGAGAGGAGACCCATATGGTCTCCACTGAACCCACAGAAAGGGAACTTGTTATTGCTAGGTGGGGATGAGAATCCTAGCTCCTCATTTGATCTTCTCTGACACTACCTTGTTAGTCGGGGGGAGGAGTACCTTCTTAGAGCCACAGCCTAGACTAATTTAATCAGAATTGCTGGGGTGTGACACACTTGCAACTTGACTGAGAAAAAAACAGGGCAGGTCTTTAACTTGTTTAAAGATAAGGGAGATTTTGCATGTGTGTGCTGAAAGTAACCATCTGTAAGGAAGAGTTTGAAAAGTAGGAGGAAACAGACTCGAGCCCAACACTGAGTACCCAGCCTTACGTGTGTGTCCGAGTGTGGGGTTCAAGAGCAGGCAGATGTCTGGCTCAGCGTGGGGCTGTGGCTGATGGCCGGATATGGTATAGGCTAGAGTTAACGAGGTGAGCTTGGCTCCGTAGTCCCTGAGCACAAATCCTGACTCCTAGCTGTGTAACCATGAACAAGTCATTCAGCCTCTCTATGTCGGTTTCCTTATCTGTCAGGTGAAGATAAAACTGGTACCTACCTCAGTGGTTGAGAGAAATAAATAAATTAACGTAACAGCACCACGCGGCAAGCACCCGGAAGTGATGAAGTGTGGTTTTTGTTCCCCTGGATGGATTTCCACAAACACCTTCATTCAAATTTCTGACTTATTAATAATGAGTCCAGATAAACATCTGCATAGATTCCCCTGAACATCTTCTTCTTAAATATCTTCTTTTATAATAAATAATTATCCCAACACCCCCAAACACGCTGTTCCGTTCGCTGGGACAGCAGGCACCCCCCCCACCCCCCGCCAGCCTGTCTGCCTGCCAGCTGATGTCTGCACACACACACTCTTTTTTTGAGTGGCTTCCAAAATATCCTTTCCTAATTTGCTAGGAAGTGAGCTATAAAGAATTTATTAAGTGAAGAAAAATCATAGCTAAGTATCAGCTATTCCAGAGGAAATGAGATTTAAAATAAAATCTAGAAAGTAGTTATTTTGGGAAGCAAGGGACTGGGAAGGGGGACATACATAACATTTCATCTTTTTTTAAAATTGAGTTTATAGTCAGTTTAAAATGTGTCAATTCCTGGTGTAGAGCACAATTTTTCAGTCATACATGAATATATATGTATTCATTTTCATATTCTTTTTCACTGTGAGCTACTACAAGGTCTTGAATATATTTCCCTGTGCTATGCAGTATAAACTTATCTATTTTATATAAACCTACAAATCTCAAAACTCCCTGTTTATCCCTTCCCACCCCACTCCCCCCTGGCAACCACAAGTTGATATTCTCTATCTCTGAGTCTGTTTCTGTTTTATATATTTCATCTATTAAAAAGAAAACAAATCTGAATCAGATACACTGAGATGTGATAAAGCTAAGTGGTGGTTATTATTTTATTCTCTACACTTTTCTGTTTGCAATATTTTAAACCATTAAAGAATAAAAGTTCTTACTGTGGTAGGGACATAAAATGGATGTGGTCAGAATACAGTAATTACTGTGAAAATAAGCAAGGTTAATGGACATTTTCATTTTAAAAAATCTCCCTGAAAAATGCAGGAAAATACACACACACAGGACTGCTTCAAGAAGGATTTTTAAAAACTGAAGATTTATATACGTCTAAACTCAAAGCAAATATTATTGAAAAAAATTCAGTAAGTAACTGTCACTGAAATTAGTTGATTTGTATTTTTATTATTTACTTATTAATGGTATAAAAGGACACCAAGTTTCAAATTTTCAGTTTATTTATAAAAGAAAAAATACAGAATGATTTTAAGACAAAGCACACAATTCCTACTCATTTTCTTTCTTAGTGGGAAAAAGTAGTACCCGACACCCAACTGTCACAGCCTGTTCTGCCTGATCTTACAAGTGATACCAAGAAAAACTACAGAAGTATCAGCTTTAGCATGCTAGGAACATTGCCAGCAGGCGTGCATGTCTACATTAACATAAATTAAATTCAGTCTGTCTCACATAACCCTGTTTTCACCTTTCCCCAGTGTCATTCAGTCTTCCCCACCCCCTGCTGCCCCCCCCCCCCCGTCTCCAGTGCTACGGAGCTCCTGGGCCCCAAGTCCTCTGCTGTCCTATCCCTATGCTAATCCACTGAGGTGCACCTGAAAACACCAGATTTCCAAGAAGGGAGGGGGACCCAGCACACTGCCTCAAGGCCCACCAAGGACAGGGGATGCTGAATGGCCTCCATTTACTCCTTTACGTACATCCCCATTAGAGGCGCTTTGCATCCTTAGGAGAGTCATAGGAGAGCAGGGGCGGACCCTTGTGCCCTAAGATCCGTCCAGACACTTCCCCGCCCCCTGGTGGTGTACTGAGAACACAGAGCAGCCTGGTCCTGCGCAGGGTGGGGCACTGAATTCACAGACTGGGTGAAGGGAGAGGTGGAGAAGCAGTGATTCTGTGCATTGGAAGAGGCTGGGAAGTCGCTCTGGGCACTGCCTCTGACCCATTAGGAGCTCAAGGTCTGATGATGACCTTCAGGTAAGTGCTCTCATCTCTCATGATGGCAGAGGTTGGGAAACAGCACATCCCACCACTGAAGGTCTTGATCAGACCACAGTGACTTTTTTAAATTATAAAGATAGTAACACTAAAGAAAATGTTTCTAAGAGGAGTAAGAAGTCACAGAATGTTACTGCTTTAACACAAGTGTTTTCATGGTCTCCTTCACTGTCTTGAGACTTACAACTTAGTGTCTGATCCTTTTTATTTAACATTATCCCAAACAGTAGCGATGTTACAGTTAATGATGAAGGAAGCGGGACACTGAAGCATGGCAGCACTTCTGCAGGGTCCTTGCCTGGGACCACCTCGAAGGCTTCTCTGGGAAATAGAGGTAAGGGTGCTCCTCTGGTGGGTGTGGGCCGTAGAGCCTGGTGGCTCCAGGCCAGAGCCCTGGGCTTGGCTAATCCAGGCTGCATGAATACCCTGTCCTCGTGAGGACACTGCAGGTAGAAGGCACCCACCCTGTCCCTGTAGTAAGCACGAGAAGGCAGGGATGGTGCACCTCCAACCAGGTTGCCAAGGGAGCATGATCGAGGGGCTGAAGGATGCTGTTTAAGGACTAGATTTTACTGAGATCCCTTCTCAGGCCTGCCTTCCCCAAGTTTCTGAATTCACTAGACTGGAAACTTTCTGAAAGAAATGCGAGGACCTTTCCATTGTCCTTCCAGTCCTGGACCAGGTGAAAGAACTTAAATAATGGTCAAAGAAATCCTATCTAAAGCAGCTGTTTCCCCAGCCGCCCCAGCCTCTGGGCTGCACTATCGCTTATGAACATGAAACCACTAGGGGGCAGTCTGGGCCCACAGTGGGCCATTTCCTGCTGGGGAAAACTGGTCACTTGGGCCAAGATCCTCCTCCAGAGCCACAGGCCCAGCTCTTGGTCCCCCAGGGGCTTTCCTCTCATGGTCTCAGCTGTGCCATCAAATCTGAGAAGATGCTTTTGGACTGAACTGGGTTGGGGGAGGAGTGGAAGTTGCTAGTATGTTGGGAAATGACCAGGGCCTCTGGAGACTAAGTCCTTCAAATTCAACACCTACCACAGTGCCAAGACCTTAGTATGTGGTCAATATTTAATAATGGTTGCATGAAATTGAAGTAACAAGAAACCCAGAGCAGAAGGAAAGCTCCCTCCACAGGAGGGAAGTTTGTGAGCCTGCAGGGGGGAAACCAGGTTGGGGCTGGAGCCCCTGCCACTGCCCAGAACGTCTGTGGTCCCCTATAATGTCTTCTTCCATATACAGAAGCCTTGGAGGTCGAAGTGGTCTCCCCACTTGGAGGGACGTGACCAGTCAAGGACCGGGGCACGTGTCCAGACCAGGTGCGGGGCGGGAGGGGCACCACAGCGCAGGCCGAGCAGGACAGCACCGAGGCTTTCCTTCCTGGCCCAGCAGCAGGTACCAGGCCCTGTCACCTTGGGAGCAGAAGGCCTAGCCCAGGGCCACTCACATTTTTCTTACACAGGTAATCCATGTTTATTATAGAAAAATGCCATGTCACTCTTTATCGGACACCAGTGCCAGCACCAGTGCCCTCCTCTCCAGGCCCAGGGGCACGCGGGCAAGGGGCTCCAACCCCGGGCGGGCTGCAGTGGAAGCCTGGCCCCGCTGCTGCTCGCCTAGGGCCAGCACCCTCCTTGGAGCCTGGGGCTGCTTCTTTAGTTCTGTTCAAACTCCGTGTCACAGTAGCCTATGCCGAGGGGCTGGGCCTGGACACCCCTCCTGCGGGAGGACGTGAAGAAACAGGGCAAGATGAGCCCCTCAGAAGGGGGTCAGTTTTAGGGTCCAGCAACTTTTCCCACCGCAACCAAGTCTCCCCTTCCCCCGGTTCAGGGCATCTCTACACCGAGACTCCTCGGGGTCCCACTCCCGGAGTCTTGCTTGGGGTGGGGCCACGTGCTCGCGACAATCTGCAATCTGAGCAGGTGCCCCAGGTGATTCTGATGTAGGGACACCCAGGAACTTTGGGGAACACCTCCCTACTTTTAACCTGCCTGTTTCTGTGCCCCAGCCCCAAATAACTCAGTCCCCATAGAAAAAAGGTAGATGCCCAAGGGGGACCCAGTGCTCCTGGCCTACTGAGCCTGTTAACGGTTCTAAAATGCTCCAAGTGAGGAGGCAGCAGGGGACTGAGGCGCTGTCCAGGACATGCACAGAGTGTGGGCATGAAATCCCTGGAAGGCCTCAGCCTTCCAGGTTCCAGGACCTGACCAATCTCCTTAGGGCACCTCTAGGCATGCCTGCTTTACTACCCAAATAAGCTACGTGCTCAGAGATGGTAAGGAACTAGCTCACAGTCACCCAGCAAATTACAGACAGTTGAGGCTTAGAGCCCCCATGCTTGGTTCTTAGCCTGGACTCTGCCCTGTACGAGGCTGTGTTCCCCAGGTTCTCAAGACGTAGTCAGTGAATGAATCAAGGAAATAACCATCTTACATAGGCCCATCCCCAACAGGGGCACAGGTGTCATGAGAACCCATAAAAGCCCAGCCATGGCTAAGGACACAGACTCTGAAGTCAGCTTGGTTCAAATCATGGTTCTGAGCAATTCTGGGCAAGTTACTTTACTGCTCTGTGCCTCAGCCGCCTATATCTGCAGTGGGGATAAAGCTACATCCCCCTTAGAGGGCTGGTGAAGATTCACTTAAGTAATGCCGGCACGGGGCTGAGCACAGGGCTTGCCACGCATATGCCTCAACAAGTGTTGGCTATTGTCAGTATTCTCTTCCTGTCAGCTGGGGGTCCTCAGCCCCAACCTGCCCACAGCCTGGCGCTCACCTCAGCAGCTCACAGCGGAAGTGTGTCAAACGCTTAAAGGCAGATTCCAGGTTGCTCACAATCTCGTTGCTCCACAGCCTCTCGGCAACAGCCCCTGCTCTGGGCCTGCAGGAAAGGGGGCACGCTCCAGGGTGGGCCCTGGATTCCCAGCAGGGGTGCTGGACACCCACAGCCTCCTGTTTAGGTGCCCTGGACTAGCTCAGGGCCAAGGAGTGCGACCAACACCTTGATCAGAGCGCCAGCCCGGCTGGAGGGCTCCCGGGGACTTCCAGGGCCCGGCTCCAGCTTCAGTAAGAGGGGGCTCGAGGTCCTACCTCCTTCCTTCTCAAAGACGTGGGAGCCAGAGCACCTCATAAAGGCCCCATGAGCAGTTACTGCCAGTGGCAGCAGCGCTGTAAACTCTACACCCCAAGCAGGCTTGGGGAGGGCCTGCAGCCTCACAGAGGAGGCTCGTCAGGGGCCATGCCCTTCAGGGCTGGATCCTGAGCAAGCCATCCTGAAAGTAACATTCTTTTAAGGCACTCTCCAGGCCTTGTTATCTCTACCCACCGAGTGGGGGTGGATAACGACCCCCGTCCAACACACCCGATGGGCTGGGGGGGCAAACGTCCAGGTCAGGTGGGAGGCGAAGGCCACCTACAAACAGGAGCTACACCGAGTGCCCCTCTCTCAGGGCTGAAAGGACGTTTCTCGTCTGGGGTGTCTGGGCGGGACTGAGCCTGGGAGGGAAAACCCGTGCCCACCGTCCAGCCCTCCCCGTCCCCAGAAAGCCCTTACCAGAGCCTGGGGACCAGGTTCGTGCTGTCCACATACTCCCCCCACATACAGGCCTCTCCTCCAATCACCAGAGCCTTCTGCTCAGGGCCACCTGAGGGAAAACAAGCAACCACAGGCCTCAAGCGCCTCCCCGACGCGGCCCTCTCCTCAGAGAGGCCGTTTCCTCTGGCCCTGACTCTCCCACCTCCCGGCCTGTGCCCCCCAGCCTCCTCCAGCCTGCAGGAGAGCTCCCGCCTTTCACCTTCAAACGCCAGGGGCTCCACCGTGTAGGCCTCCTTCCAGTCAGGGCCGTAAGATATGTGGTTCAGGTACCAAGGGGCAGAGAGCAAGGCCCGGAGGCCGGCACCCGTGACCAGCTCCATCTCCCTCATGTAGCTCACCGACGCCTGTTCCCGCCACACCTGGATGATGGTGTCTGGCCGAATCTGTCACGAATGGACAAACGGAGGTGACGGCACGAAACTGAGGAGGTTCTCAGGCCACGTTCTTCTGCAAGCAACGCAGGCCCAGCACGAGTGCCCTCGGCTCAGTGACACCCAACCACTGAGCTCCAAGCTCGGAGCAGAGGCCGAGGATCCCACCGGCCCCAGGAGAGCTCCCTGCTGCCTCCTCCCCCCGTCCTGCGGCGTCCCTGTCCACACTGAGATCGTGACACCGGCCGTGAGCAAGGGAGGCAGGCAGAGGGGCCCAGGAGACTCAACAGGAGCTGCCACGTCCAGGCGTCTCCAGATGCTTCTGGGGATGGGACAGGTTCCTGCAGGGCCCCTGCAAGTAGTAGGAAGCTGGGATCTTACTGGTCAACAATGGAGAAGGTAGCCCTGCTCCCAGACCTGTCCTAGTCTACAATGCAGGAAGGAAAACCCAAGCCAACATGCCAGTCTCAGGAACCCCAAGTAACTGAGCAGCGAAGTAACTCTTTATCAGTTCACAGTGAGGAAAGACAGAGGCTCTGACACCCACGCCCAGGGCTCAGAACTCTGCGACCTTCTTAGAGGGGAAAGGGGAGCTGACCCCCAGCACCCCGAACGTTAAAGCCAACCCAGCCAGGAGGACCAGTCCGTGCAGAGGCAGGGGAAGGATGGGAGACCAGAGGGAGGTACGGCAATGGCTCCTTTTCTCCACCCCCAGCTCACCTTTACTTTATTATCAAACACCTCCTGCCACACCACGTAGCCCTTGTTGTAGGCAGAGACGATGTCCAGCAGCCTGGAGAGTAAACAGAGCGTCTGCTCAATCCACAGGCTCTGGGCTGCGGGTGCCAGCGCCCAGGGGCTGCGCCTGGCTACGGGCCCATTCCTGACTGAGCAGTGTCTTCCCCAGTTGGGAACCGACCACTTCAAACCTGAAAGGGCATGTCAAAGCACCCCTTCAGGGGCCCAGAGAGTGGTCCAGCAGGTCCTGACCCTGCTAGGGAAGGTGAGGACCCCGCAGGAGGTGACCCCAGGGGCCCCGCCCCCTCCTTCCTTCCTCACGTCTCAATGTAGAAGGACTCCAGCTTCTTGAAGTCCTCACCAAAGCCTTTCTTCTTCATAAAGGCCTGGATATCTGGGTTGGACTTCCTGAATCCCAAGAGAAAATGCGAATCAATTCTTTCGACGACATTCTCAAAGCCCGAAGCTTGGGGACCAGTTGCCTGGCCTCCCACAGCTTCCTCTTTCCACCTGAAAAACCAATCAACTGAGGGTCTCAAGCAGCCCCAAATTTGGGAGGTGTGGTTGAACACAGTCAGACAAAGGGGGCTGCTGACACAGGCTGAACCCAGACCTGAAGAACTTCAAGGTTAAACTCTCCAACAGAACAGTCCTCAGCCTCTCTGGACGCAGGGCTCCACACCCCAGGTTCCGTTTCCCTCTCTAACCCCCTCCCAGGCATACCCTGCTTGTCCCCTGGTGTACGAGCGCTCCGTCTGCCACCGCCCTTGCCCCTGTGTCCACACCGTGTTTTCTTCTCCACTGTTTCCCCAGACCCAGCTCCAGTACCCGCTTCCCCGAGAAGCCCATCAACCTCTTCTGAGATGAGCAGATCTGAGGATCGGGGCCTCACAATTTAACACTAACTAGACTCTATCGTACGTCCGCCTCAGACTCTTCAACCGGGCTATTTTAGGCTGCCAAAAGCAGGGATTATTTTTCCCCGTCTTGATTTTTCCAAGACAATTCTGTGCCCGGAGCTGGTTTTTCTGTAAGTATCCCAAGGCTACGAAAGGAGGAAAGGAGAGCTTCACATTCGCAGCCTTGCCAAAACCAGGCAGGGCCTCTCGTAGGTGGAGAGAGGAAAGGCCGCAGACCCGAGCCGTCTGGACTGGGACAGATGAGGAGCACGGGGACAGGCAGCCTCCGCGGGGCTAATCTCTATTCTGAGTACGCGGTTCCTCAGGCCGGGGCAGGAAGACCACAGGGCTCGTACCAGCAGGTGAAATCAACCTCATCCCCTCCAAGGTGAAGGTAAAAATCTGGGAAGACGGCGCTGATCTCCAGGAAGAATGCGCTCATGAACTCATAGGTGCTGTTGAGAGTGGGGTTCACTGGTCCAAAGGTGCCAGAGGGGTGGGACCCAGAGTAGCAAGGGGTTAACAATCCAGGGACACCTACGGCACAAGAGAACCCCACACAAGCGTCATAACACATAGACCCCACACAGTCATATCCACGACGGTGCTGTCACACAGAGGAAGGCCAGCAGGCACACAGGAAGGAAAACTCAGGCACTCAGACACTGGGAACTAGAAGCGTTTAGTCACAGAGAAGCACAAATATACCCACAGCCAGATGCAGTCGGGACTGGGTCACAGCCAGACCACTGTCCCACACGCTCCCCCATGGCCCGCTCTCCCCACAGCCCCCGGGCAGAAGAGCAGCGCGCCCGACCCAGCCGAGCCAGCATCTCTCTCCCAGTCCAGGGTGCCGCCGAGACAAGGACGTCGGGGGGCAGTCTGCCGGTGTTCTCCTATGAGAAGGCGCCTCCTTCGCCCAAGTAAGTTCCGCCTATCTAAATTCCCAGTGGGAAAAGCTGATGGAAAACATTCTCCTAGAGACCAAGGAGAGCTGGGGTATGTCGCACCCAGGAGCCAGTACCCCACAGCCCCACTGCCGGGAATCGGTGGATGCCCTCCAGCTCCAGACGTTACTCCTACCTGGTCCCCAGGACAGAGTGTGGCCAGGAGTGTCAAACTCCACCAACACACGGATACCCCGAAGCCGCGCGTACTCAATCACCTCCTTCACATCCTGTGCTGTGTAGACGTGGGTGGCAGGGTTGTAGGACCCCTGAAAGGCATGGGACACCATTCAGGATCTCATTTCCTGAAGACTAGCAGAGGAGAGGACACTCAAAGTGCTCAGCACTCCCCGGGCATCAGGAAACCTACCCACAGCCCTTTGGTATCAGGGGCTCTCTTCAAGGGACTTTATCACTTCCCACAAGTTATCACATCTGTCGTCTCACCTCAGTGCCAGGATGCCAGTGAGACGAGTAAGGCAGGTATTATGCCCAGATTACAGAATATAAATAAATAAAAAGTAAATGGGACCGGGAGTAATTATCTCCTGAAGGTCACAGAGCAAATTAATGGCATAGTTCTGACTCGAACTCAGGTCTCTTGACTCCAAACCCAGTGCCCTCCCTCTATGTGAATGCGTCCCTCAAACCAGCCGGTGTCCTTGCCAGCAGGGCCGCAGCCAGGCTCAGACTTCAAGCCATAAATGTGGTCTGGACAAAATCGAGACATACCTTTTTGGCAAGTTCTGGAAAAGTGAAGCTCTCATACGGGAAGGAAGAGTCATCGACCAGATGCCAGTGGAACACGTTGAATTTACTGTACGCCATGACATTCTGTAGGTCAGAGCACAGGCTGTGAACCTAGAACCAGTCCTCCAGCTCCAGCCCCAAGCTTGGGAAGCTGGGCAGACTGGCAGGCAGCTCCGTACACTCTAACAGGCTCAACCTGCCCCAGCTTCCTGCCAAGTGTTCACAGGGTCTCTGTCAGACCTTCCCGTAGGAGATGCCTGACGGAAGGAAGGGAAAGGCCTGGCACATCCAAAGACGGCTGACGGCAGCAGTGTCTCCTCTGTCTGGGGCAAGTTCCAGGCGCACTGGGAGAAGGGCTGCAGCTCTGTGGTACCCTGGAGTCTTCCAAAAGCCCCACGACACTCTGAAGACCAACACTTCCTCCTGACATTCATTCTGGGTTGTCTGACTAGAGTTTATCCAAACTGTGAGGCCTGCTGTGAGTTCAGCAGCCCCACAACCCAAAAATCCCAGATGCCAAGACTGGTGAGTGTGCCCACCTCTTTGGTTCCATCAGAGAAGGAACGGAAAGGTAGATCTATGAGTTAGACTGGCAGCTGTCAGGTAAAGCTGCCTATCAGACTCAAGATTGTTCGGGACACCCCTCGTTAAGGCTTTTGAACATCTCTTTCCTACAACTTTGTCCCAACTAAAGTTAGCTCTGTTCTGTCAAAGAAGCCCGTTCCCCAAAGCCCCTCCTGCGCCACTGGAGACAGCCTGAGTGGTCCTCAGTAGCCAGTGCGGTAGGTTTAAATCACTTCCGTTATTTTTTTGAGTCCTGGAGCAGGCCGTCTTTTACACTTTTCTTAGGAGCTCATAAAGTTACATTAAATTCTCTCTAAAACTCTTTGGGAATGTGGCACCTGGTCTACCCCTTGTCCCATTACCCCGGAACCCTTAGGGCAAAGAAGGCCGTAAGGCTTGGGTACCAGAGTGTCCAGGATGCTAGCCACAGGCAGGTAATGGCGAGATGTATCCAACAACAAGCCCCGGTGAGGGAAGCGGGGGAAGTCCTCAATCTCCGTCTTGTTGATGAAGAACTGTGTGGACCAAACATTGACCATGTCAGGATTCAAAGGGAACTCACGGGAATCCGCGGATGGCGTGGAGGGGGGTGAGGAACATCTTCCAAGACCCTGAAAAGCCAACCTGTGACTGTTCTGCATGGTAACTATCTCCACGAACGCCCACACCTCTACTTTAATGACCACAAGCAGGTACTTGTCCAGAAAGCAGCTGTCGCATGCCAGCCAAATACAGCTGACCCACATACAACTCAGCCCACAGAACCTAGATTTTCCCTGACAATATTTTCTTCAATGCAATGCAATGTGCCCCCGAAGGCAGTGTGGGCTCAAGGTCATTACTAAATAATGATTCAGGGGAACTGACTTATATCCCAATTGGCAAAATCTACCAAACCAGTTTCTACCTGTATCTCCTTATATACTCTTGTGAGGGCCATCTCAAGCCACCAGGATTCTGTTTAAGGCAAAATAAGAAGTTTCCAGGAGTCTCAACACTGCGAGCAAACCCTAGAGATTTAAAAGGAGCCCTTTCTGAGGGCTCACACTCACCGTGCCCTCTGGAGATCTCCAAACAAGCTGGCTAAAAGTCTCCAGACCTGCAGGGAGGTAGAGAGGCAGAGTGAAGACGTAGGCAGGCGGAGAGAGAGACGCAGCCACCTGTCAGGTTCCCACGTGGCAGAGCACACTCCTTGGGCCACGGTGAAAGCAGATGCAGCGTAAGCTTGACACTTCTCAACAATTATTAAAAGGGGATAGACAGCAGGAAGCCACTACTTTTTACTCCATGTTTTATTTTGGAAGGTGGCAGTGCAAGGGGTCTTTGTGCCCCTCCTAGCAACACACCAACTCACGTGCCTCTTCATCCGTATTTCCTAAGCCTTGAACTCCCAAGGATATTAGGAGGAGAGACCACGATGTGTGCCTACAAGAACAGGATGTGTGCACAGACAAGCCAGCTCATAAGGGTTAATGCTGTCTGTGGATAATGCCCATCAGGAGCTAAGTGACCTGAGAAAAAGGGGGCCCCAGTCTACTGCCCTGTCACTGCTCCCAGACTGAATCACGAGAACGTGCTCATAAACTTGAGTTTCATAAGCTCAGTGAGACCAGACTTGTGGCTCCACGGCTGGACCTAAAAGACAAAAAGCGCCCACTTTCCCCCTTCAGAGCCTGAGAGGAGGACCAGCCACAGGCAGCAGAGCTGTGACAGCAGAAAACACCGCGGGCGACCACACAGTCCCCTGGACACAGACTCCTAGATTCCGGCAAAGCCCAGGGGCAGGTGGGCTGAGCCCAGAGCACTGGGCGTTCTCAATAGCTGGGGCCCCATTCTGAGAACCCAGCAGCAGCCCTGTGAAGGATTCCCAGAGTCTCAAATATTCAGAATTTAAGAATCTGCGAGAGCTTCGTGGTCACTCAGCACCTCAGTTGAGGCAAACTTCCGGTGTCCTGTCTGCTTCTCTCCAGTCTGCCTGAAGCCGAGCACCCTGAGTCCCAGGTCTCACCCTACCCGAACCTGACTCATCGTTAGCACCCGCACGAAAAGGACAAGAGGGCAGAAAGGGGAGTCGAGCCGGCACGCTGTTTCTCCAGAACAGAGGAGGGGAGGAGGAGCTAGGGAATAAAGGCAAACCAAAACAAGGCTTGGGACTCCGTGAGAGTTTCCCTCCGCACTCCCTGGCAGAGCTTTCACCAAAAGCAGCAGAGGTGTTTGGCTAAGTGTGAATCTAGAGACCAAATACCTCTTCAGTAAACCAAGAGGAAGGGCCGCTCACCCGCTGGCTGGCGAAGCCCTCGTCTTCTCCCAGAATAACAGCTTTCTACACATTTTACCACTATTTCCTTTTTTAAAGAAAGAGGGAAAGTGGGACTCATTGGGAGGCATGAGCAAGGCAGGGCAAGCGCGACGGCGCCCTGAGCGCAGGGCCCGTCGCCTGTCCGGGGGCCATGGTGAGGGTGTACCTCACAGCCATTCAGCTCGAGCCACTTTTCTGCCACCGTATTTTCAAATTCATCCGCATTAAACTTAGGGAATCCCCACACCTTGGAGATGTGGATCCTCTGGCGGCCAGGGAACTTGAACTTGGCCCCATGCGGGGCCTCAATCACATGCTCCCGGTGCTGCAGCTTGGCACGGACAGACATGCTGACTTGGCCAATACGAACCCTGGCCACTGTGCCTTGGGGCTTTCCAAAGGCAGCCCACACGCCTGTCTGGAGCCTAGAGTGGGGACAGCATGTCGGACAGGAACGTCCACTGGAAAGGGCTGTCTCCAAGGTCCCTTAGGGCAACCCGTACAGGCAACAGGCTGCATACACAACCAAGGAGGCTGCTGTTTGCAGCCACTGCACACCGCGCTCCCATGGGGAAAAGAGCACAGTCGGCTTAATTGGCTGCAGAATATTTATCTCTTTTTTAACATTTATCTATTTCTTTTGATCTAGTTTTCCTTCTTAAAGAACCTCTCTAATCATGTGTCTTTAGTGAGACCTGAGCCGGCAGTGTTTTTGGCAGAGTAGGCCCCTCTCCCCAGCTGCCTGTCCCCTGCTGGCACCTGACATCAGCCTGCAGGGTCTCCCACTGCTTCCCCAGAGCACCTGCCCAGGGGAGAGGCTGCCCCTGCACAGGCTGACACCTGGCAACTCCCAGTGACAAGCTGTAAGGAGGATGCCCCCTTTGGGGAGCTGGGGAAACACTCCAATTGGTCTCCATAAAGCAATCTCCCTCAAGCCGGGGTATTCGCTGGGCCCTGAGTCCTGTCCCCACATCCAACCAGTGCCAAACTCCCCACATCATCCTTCTTTCCCTCCCAGCATCAGACCCATCCTGTTACCTCGGAGGGCGCCCCAGACAGTCTCGGAGAGGAGGAGACACTGCTCATCATTGATGGTAAGGGTATCTGAAAAGACAGAAATGACCCCAACTAGTTAAGGATTTCTACTCTCAGATGACAAGCACATGTTCTGTGTAAATCTGCGGATTAAAAATCAGAAGGTCACATTTTTTTTCTTTCAAAGAGGAGACATTCCCAGAGCAAGCAGGGCAGCACTCAGGCCTGGGCCAGGACAGCACCCAGTGCAGGCCCTGTGTGAGGAGCGTGGGACAAAGCACTACTCGCCTTGTGGGTCAGTTTTCCCACCGGAAACACGAATTTCTGCCAAGATTTAGCTGAAAGTATGAAGGGCAGAGGGATGCTTGGAGGGGTGAGTTCAAGTTCTGACATCCCAAAGCCTCTGAAATCAGCCTCCTTCCCCTCTGTCTCCAAGCTTCAGCTACTCTGTCAAGAATGTGAGGAAGAAGCTAAGACTTGAATGTTCATTTTGCAGACTGAGAAGCCCCCAAATGCCGCTGCTCAGGGGAGACAGGTGGCAGCCACAAAACTAACGACCTGGCTTCCTCTCAGTTCAAATGGCTGAAAACGCCTTCTCTCCTCAGGGTAGGATCTCTTAACAGAACTTAGGCCAGGCCACCCAGAGTTATGGCTCCGAACCAGTGCTTGCTCTTCTAGAACAGGGAACAAGGTAGTACTTACAATTCTCCACCGACTCCAGAGAAGGAAACTGGTCACATCCAGCAGTGACAACAAGGACAACCAACGAATTCTTCTCTGATGTATGCCGTTCTGCAAGGACAGGTAAACTCAGTGTGGCTGACTGGCCACCGAAGTAACAGGCAAAACCAAGGCCCTGCAGGAGGGCCCCTAGCTCCAGTCCCTGCAGCTTGGATGCCTGTGGTAAGAGGGAAGGGGACAGGGCACAAGCCCTGGGCACAGGCACCGCCCAGTCACCTGCCCCCTTGTCCATTTCGGCCGTGCCCTCTGCCACCCTGGCTTGTGCGGGTGAGCGGCGGCAGCTCCTTCGGGCTCGTGCAGCTGAGCACGCGGTTCCAAGACCTCAGCACTGCTTCCAAGCTGCACGCGGCCCCAGAGCGCGGTCTGCAGGCGAGCTGCTGACCTGCAAACTGCGTTACTGGTTGTCACCACATGGGGAGCTTATGCGACTCCATGATGTACATCAGTTATGTCGGAGCAAACACACTGTTTGGCAGGTTTTCCTGAGGAAGGGGACAGCTTTTCATGCCGGCGCGCGCATCCCATGCCGCCGCAGATTGGCCCTGGCAGCAGCACCGCTCGTGGGGCTCAGGTGCAGGCTCTCCAACTGCGCAGGAGCCCACATGGGCAGGTGAAGCAGATGACAAGAGGACCCTATCTGCGGAGGCGGCCTGAGGTGATCTGGCTGGTGCTCCGTCCTGCTTCCTTCCTTCCTCTTCCCAAACAGGCTCTCTGTCCAAGGCAGCTTCTGCCCAACAGTCACCCAGCAGTAGGAGCCAACATACCATCCCACATGGTTCTACAGATCCCACGCTGTGCAGAAAAAAATAAAAGCCAGAGCCAAAACACTAACGTACTGTCTCTTCCCACCCTCCCACGGGTTCTCTTCCATGACCTTCAGGGTGGTTCTGATTGTAGAGCCCCAAGCCTGAGCCTCAGTGAACTCCCTCTCTCTACCCTCTTTCTGGAGCCACACACACCCCCACTGACACCACAACATCCATGGGGTCTATGGAAATACAAAGTCAGGGGTAGGATGGTCTGGCAGAAAGCAGGGAAAGAGGATTCAGAACCAAACTGGAATCCCAAATGTTCCAGGAGGAACCTAAGAGCCTTGAACCACCTCAAGGAAGCCTGCTCAAACCTCCTGATTGCTACACCACACGGCTGCATCTCGGCTCTCAGGTCTGCCGAGAAGCAAGCCCATGAGGGGCCTTACTCTGCCCAACATGATGAGCAAACACATTCTTTCCCCTCCCTGTGAACACCCTGATGCTCCGCACTAACACCTGCCTGAACCCTGCGGGGAGAAGAGAATTTGAGGCTATTCTGGGCCAAGCCAACTCCCACCTCCATTCTAAACCCTGAAAACTCAACCCACAACATAGAAGCACAACTAGACTTTCAGGAAAGAGACCACTTCAAAGCAGAATGTGCAGGGCCATTCCACGCTCCCCAAGCAGACAGGCCATCTCTGCAAATCCCAAAGATCAAGGAGGACTTCACTGGGAGGCAGGTGTCAAAAAACTATAAAAGAATATCCTTCCTTAAACTAGCCCCTCACCCCTTGTCCCCTTGTCCCCACTGCCACCCCACACACCCCAGAGCCCCAGCATCACTGTGTGGAGAGCTCACGTGCACATCTACCCAGGCGGGCATCCAAAAAAGGGCAGAGTCCTGAGCTCCAGTGTCAGTCCCCTGGGCCTCCATCTACCAATCACAGGAGCAATCACAGCTCACATGCAGCTGCCACCGTCCTGTCCTGATGACGACAGAGGCTGCTCAAGGACCAGGTTTACCTCAACTGCTACTTGGAAGACGAGAAAACATCAGATTATTGTTGTTATATTTCTGTTTTTCTAAAACACACCTGCACTCTATTCTCTAAATTTGTGGTCTTTTAAAAAGGAAGGTCACAGACTCCTTTGAAGATCTGATGAACATGAAAGGATTTCTTCCCTAGAACAATGTCACTAATTTAAAGGCTCATGCCTCCACCCCCGGCCAGCAAGCTCAGGGTAGTCTGTCCTGAGCGTTCGCAGTGACTCAGGTGGGTTTGGGCTGGTAAAGACAGAGTCGTGGCTGCTCCTTAAACCAGCTCTGAGGGGGAAGAACCGGGGGAGGCGGTGATGTGAGAGCTGGCAAAACAGGAGGGACACTGGGTCATTTAAAAGGATGTAAATAGAGATCATTGCGGTTTTCCGCCTCCAGGCTGCTGCTCTGAAGGGAACAGGAAATAGGCAGGGGCCGGCGGCCTCCACACACGCCCACACCCGCTGCGGGGAAGAACTGAGACCAGCCTGCCATCACGGGCACGCTCGCTGAGCCGGGCGGGACAGCGGAAAAGTCTGCGGCCCCCAGGGCTCAGGGAGCAGCACGGGAAACAGCACTGAGCTGGGAGACCAGGAAGGGATGGTTCTGGTTCTGCTGCTGCCAAGCTGAGCAGGTCTCAGGGCTCCCATTTCCTCCCAGTAAACAATGGCAGGGAGGGACCAGGGTCCAGCCACTCGTCCGCGGAGCCAGGACAGATCCCGTCCCACCACCACCGCCTCCTGTTTCATCGCCCCTTCACGTAAACCTGCTCTTTTCTTCCGGTTCACTGAAAAGTTTGTATTTTTCTTTTAATTTAATAAGTTAAAAACATTCAAACAGCCCAGAAGTGTTGACAACAACAGCAAAAAGTTATCTTTGGCCCCCTCCTCAGTTCATTCTCTAAGGAGACACCCACTGTTAGTTTTGTACCCCTGTAACCCCCCTTTTTAGCACAAGTCATCCTATTCATCACAGACAGGTGAGCTCTGGATGCGGGACTCTGAGAACAGGGCAACCCAAGACCCTTTCACCAGAAAAGCCCAGATGCCAGTGCTACGATCATTCTGGTTCCTTTCTGTTCTCGGTCCTCTCCCGTCGTCACTTCCCTCCCTGCCGCCCTCCACGTGATGACCCATCGCCTCAGACACAATCTAGCCGATACTCCCAGCGACTTGTCCTCTCTCCTGTGCGGTGGGCAAGCCCTCCGCCCAGACCAAGCGGACACCTGCCTCCATGCACCTCATCCTGGTCTCATCTTGGCTGGGCCCTTGATGCCGTCCTGAAAATCTCCTTCTCCACCACTGCCCGTTTTCAGTCTCCACAGCTGCGATTTCAGACTTGTGCCACTTTCTTCAAGTCCTAATCTGATCATCACCTCCTTCTCTCAGCTGACCGTCAGAGGGAGTCCCCGCCCATCTGCCCCTGCCCTCCCCCCCACCCCTCAACCCCGCCGACAGAAGTATCCCAGTGGGCGGGGTTTCCTTTCACGTGCTCTGGATCTGGATCGCTCTCAGGCTTCTCTTGTAAAAATTGCTTCCTTTTCTCCCAAATCTTCAAACTTTCTCCTTCTGCTGATTCTCTCCCATCAGCATTAAGGCATTCACAAGTCCCCCTGGTCTCAACTCCACGTCATCTCAGTCACTCTCTCTCCCTCCTTCCGGTCACAAAGACACCCTAGAGGAAATGTAGCCGGGGCAGCTCGGTCCTGAATTTCAAAGTCAGACGGATCCGGGTTCACGTCGTGGCTCTAATGCTTCTAGCTGCGGGGCACTGAGCAAGGTGCTTTCCCTCTGAGCTGCAGGTTCCTCATCTGTAAAATGGTCATCGTGACAGGACCTACCTTACTGGGCTGCTGAGAAGATTAAAGGAGTTAATGAGTGTGAAGTGCTTAGCTCAGCACCCAGCACAGAGGAGGTGCTCATGGAATCGGTCACCCTCAGTCCTCCTCGTAGCCCCTCCCTGGCCTCCTGTCTACCTCTCGGTCCATTATAACCTGGCTTCCTTCACCATCACTCCTGTGAAAGGGCCTTCACCAAGGGCCTGTGTTTCTGCCACTAAATTCAAGGGATCCCTTTCAATCATTCGTCCACTCATTCGGCAGTTATTCACTGAGTGCTTACTCTGTGCCAGCTGTTCTAAGTGTAGAGGATGCAGCAGTAATCAAAACAAAAATCCCTGCTGCACAGAGGAAGCATCCCACTGACCACTCACTTCTGGGACCTCCTGACATCCCTGACCTTGAAGCTAAACCCCCTTAGCTCCAGGGACGCTGCTGTCTTGGTTTCCCTTCCGACTCCTTGAACATGCTTCTTCGTGCTCCTTTCCTTCGCCCACCCCTGCGTCCTGGTGTTCCCCAGGGCTGCAGACATCTCCTTTTCTCCTTTGGACAGTGTCACCCACTCCCACGCCAGACTGATGATCCTCAAACCTGCCTCTCCACGCCTGCCCTTCGGGAGCTCTGCAAGCACACACCTCCACTTAAAGCACTTCGAATCTTACAGACAAAACTGAACTAAGCCTTCATTCCCGTTCCCGTTCTCTCTCAGTTTGATGAAAGCACCAACTATCGGTTTACCCTGACCAGATACCTCCTCCTCCCGTCCTTCTGACTTGATCACAAGTTTATTCACTCATAACGTTTACTGACTGCCTACTGCACGTCACACACCGTGCTAGGCACCGAGATTACAACAGTAAAAAAGAAAGACCCCACTAAGCGTTAAAACCACAACATCTTTACTAGCTCTGAACATCATCACCAACCTCCCACCCCACTGGGGTCAATGCCTCAATCCAGCCTCTTATGAATTCTCACTTGGACGACCACAAAAAGCCTCCCAGCTCCATGTATATCCCATCTCCAGGCTTCCATGTGTATCCCATCTCAATCTACTATCCTTTGTGATCTTTCACTGTGAAAATCAGATTCTGATGATCTCTGCTGACAACCCTACAGCGGTTCCCCACAGCTTTCAGGATGAAGCCCAGAATCCACTGGATGGTTCTGTGAGCTCCAGCCTCGTCCTTCTCTGCCCCCATGCAGGAACTCTCAGTAGCACCGTGGACTCGTCACAGAACCCTGAAAATGCCACGTTCTCTCCATCTTTTTCTTTGCACATATCACTTCCTCCAACTGAAACAAACTTTGCATTGCCTCTGTACCTCACCTGATTAAGAAACAGCCCTAAAAAAAGAAAGAAAGAAAGAAAGAAAGAAAGAGCCCTAGTTTTCTTCTCCTAAAACGTTTCTGTCAG